CGACACTCGAAGATATGGCCCCAGGCACGTCGTTCCAGCCTGTACTCAAGGACACGCTGGCCAGTGACCCCACCAGCGTCAAACGTGTTGTGTTTGTGTCTGGTAAGCTGTACTATGACCTGGCCAAATCCTACGATGCTACCACTAGCAACGTGGCCATTGTGCGGCTCGAAGAGCTTGCACCGTTCCCACGCGCCCAAGTGCTCGCGGAGCTGTCCAGGTTCCCGAACGCCGATCAGTATGTGTGGTGCCAGGAGGAGACAATGAACTCAGGGGCATACGCCTTTGTGCAGCCGCGCCTGCAGTCGCTGCTCCCCGAAGGAGCAGTCCTCAATTATGTCGGCCGAGACCCGCTGGCCGCCCCGTTACTGGAGTTTCCAAGGTGTACAAGGCCGAGCAGGCTGCTGTAATCAACGCCGCACTCGCATAGTCCGCATCTTGTCCCCCCCCCTGAAAGATTAGACGCATTCTCCTCACATTGAGTATATCCACTTCTCTATATGGCCTTGTCGGATCACTTCCGCGTTTACCAACACATATCGGGCAATTTGCCTTCGCGCTTGGCGAGGTTTTGCGCAGACACCGATATGTACGCCACCTATGCGCCACCAATACATTTACATCGCTTCCCATCTATGGTTTTCTGTGCTCTATGCTGTTGTCTGGTTGCTCTTGACCTTTAATCAGTGCAGCACAACCCGTAACTCCCCGTTGTTGCTTAACTGATACAGGGATATGCCGGTGTTAGAGGAGAAAGAAATGCCTAGTTGCATTTTATGAGCATTGCCAGATAGCCATCATATCTGCCTTGCCCAAGCTAAGGCTGGACGGCTTGCCTACACCAGCGACCCCCTTCCATACACCAATGGCCTTGATGGGAGTGCGTGGCGCCGCTTGCTGAAGAGCAAAGAATGGGCTTAAATTAGTCAATTCTACGCCCAGCTGCGTGCCTCGCACCCATTGCTCAGTGCAAGTTTGGCAATTGGGCAGATAGTTCGGCTGGTGGGAAGGTTCCTGGGGATATGCCACAGGAAGGTTGAAAATACACCAGATGTATTGCTGGCGCAGCTAGCAGGCTGAAAACAAAGCGCGCAATGGGCTAGCAGACAATACACATACAACAGAAGGCAGGCAGATAAACCGAGTACGAAGCCGTATGAGGAAAGTGGAAAGTTCAAGCCCTCCCTTTTGAATAGCTGGATTTAAATATAATGCTTGGCTTGTAACGGGGTTCGTTGGCTCACCTCCCTCTCTTTTACTTCTCTATTCTCCTCCTTTTTGCCTCCGCGCCCAATACTTTTCTTTTGGCAGTACTCTAACCCCTGGCGGCAAACAGCTTGGTCTACAAATCTAGTTGGTGATACCATCCGTTTTTGTTCCAGTCGACGTAGTCATGCTCAAGGCAGGAAAATTCGGCCCGCAGGGCGGTTCTGCCCCAGATCGTCCGTTCAGCGTCGCCTCTTCCGCTGCCTGTCGCCAAGAGCTATCCGTAAGGCTAGCAATCGCCTGCAGTCCATCCTCATTCTTGCTAACCGATACCACGAGGGTGCCGAATACGGAAATCTCGCGCCACCACAGGTCGAGCCCAAAGGATGTAAGTGCTGAACAGAAAATATGTCTCTGACACGCTCTTGCTGTCCCATTGGCCAGGCACGCAGAAAGAATGGAATTTCGGCAGCTGTAACTTGGTGCCCACTCTCCTTACATATATTAGTGCCCACTCTTATCCAATGGCCAGATTGGCTTCCACATTACTGCACCATGAACAAAAGTCGCTCAGACATATTTGGGCTCTACAAACCCCTGTGGTCTTGCATATTGTAGTCACTCCGGAAGAGTTGAGAAATCGTCAGCAGCAGCCTGAGCTGCTCCATCTTGTCAACGCATACCGTCGCCACGGACACCTAAGTTCGAACCTGGATCCTCTCGGCATCAAAGAAGGCAGAGTAAGTCAAATGTATATACCGGCACCTCTCTTCATCTGGTTGCACCGGCGCTCTGCCAGTAATGCTTTTCTGTGGAAGCCTCTGTCGACCTTGCTTACACTTCGCCTCCCCAATCCCACCAAACTCCGCTTCTTTCGTAGACTCATTGAGGAACTATCGAGTGGATTGTATGGCTTGAATGAGGAATCAAAGGCATACAACATTGAAGGTTGGTATATAGCTCGAATTCTTTCTTTAGCGCGCTGGACTAGAAGAAGTCGTGGAATCTGCTCCAAATGGACATGTCGAATGATTGCATTATTTATCGATATATAGGTGTTATTGCACCGTCATCTGGGCTGTCAAGACGCGCTGATCTGTCAGCAATCATTGAGGCACTGCAAAGGACGTATTGCCGGAACATCTCGTATGAGTTTGAGCATATCACGGTAAGTATGCCATGGGTACCTGCCGCATTGCAGTCGATAAAAGGTTTGCTACTACACCCAAGGTTCCTCCTTTTACCCCAATTGTAGAGCCCAGCTGTCAGGCAGTGGTTTGCAGGATACGTCGAGTCGCTCGACACAGCGGACATTTCCCTAAGGCGTGAGAGATTCTTTTGAGCACATGACAAAGGCCGAGGTAAGGCGTCTATTGCTTGTGTAGGCATACCATTTGAGTGACTCCTACTCTACAACAAACCCTCCATAGATATCACGCCTCACAATATTGTCTAACGGCATTGACTGTATTTGTAGGCGTTTGAGCAGTTCCTCCAGAAGAAGCTCCCCAACGTCAAACGCTATGGGCTCGAGGGCAGCGAAAGCATGGCGGTTCTTTTGGACCAGCTCATCTTTGAGGGATCGTGCGCTGGTATGGGTGACACAGTGCTTGGGCTCTCCCACCGTGGGCGGGTAACCCTTATGGCGACGATGTTTGGGTACAGCGAAGCTGAGGTGTTTCACAAGCTGCGTGGCGGTAGCGAGTTTCCCAACGGGTCGCCACATACGGGTGACTTTATTGTCGACTTGACCAAGCCTGCTGTCGTGACATTCCCGGAGACAAATATCCCCTATGAACATCGATATTGTGCACAATGCGTGCCACCTTGAATCAGGCTCGCCGGTTGCTCTGGGCAAGAGCCGCACAAAGGACGTCAATATTGCGAAAGCCCGCAGATCTGACAGATATACAATCGGCGACCATGTGCTGGCCATCAGTATTCATGGCGACTCTGTAAGTGCAAGAAAACTGGCAATGGCTGTCATTCTATAGCGTATATGGCTCATACTTGTTCCTCCATCCCCACATGTAGAGCTTCGCAGGCCAGGGAATTGTTGCAGAAACCCTAGGCATGTCGGGTCTTGCACATTTCACGAATGGTGGCACAATCCACATTGTCCTCAACAATCAGGTTGGGTACACAACACCGGCTTCCCATGCGCGCTCCACACGGTACGCTTCCGATATCGCCAAGTTTGCGGACATTCCCATCATACACGTGAATGGCGAGCATCCAGAGGTAAGAGATATTGACTCAATATGCGAATGACGACAGACGGCATTGGTACTCCAGGTAGATGCGGACAATATACTAACGTGTGCCTAATTGGATAGGAGGTTGCCCGTGCAGCTCGCATTGCCTTTGCATATAGGAGCAAGTTTAGAAAGGTTTTGTGCATGCGATAATGATAGTCTCATATGCGACAATGGCACTCATGAATATGAATAGCTGAATTTAATGAATTTGTTTATTAGGATGTTGTCATTGATATGTGGACATTCCGCACCCGTGGCCACAACGAAATGGACGAGCCCACATTTACTCAGCCGGCCATGTATAAGGCTATACATGGACGCAAGTCGATTCCAGCCCAGTTTGAGGAAAAGCTGATTGTAAGTGTGCATCCCCAACATCTTTGCGATCGCAACAACCTTCAGTCTATTTCTAATTATCATTCTTTGTAGAACGACGGCGTACTGACAAGCGACTATGCCAGTGCCTTCCGCAAGTCATATATCAATACGCTCAATATGGCATTTGTCCAGTCGCTCAACTGCAATCCAACTGAGGCGCCAAAGTCGCCAAGATGGAGAATGCTGAGTCCGCCGCGCAGCCTCCCCGTTGAGAAGCCAACCGGTGTTGATATCGGTACGCTGAAGGAGGTTGGTCTGCAGTCAGTTACTCCAGCCAAGGGGTGCAAGGTGCATCCGCGCATCGAGCGCTTCCACATCAAGCCGCGCGTGAAGAGGCTGAATGAGGACCAGCCAGTCGACTGGGCCACTGCCGAGGCGATGGCATTCGGCACGCTACTCAAGGAGGGGTACCATGTGCGACTTAGTGGACAGGACGTCGGTCGCGGTACGTTCAGCCAGCGACATGCAATGCTCGTATGTCAGGACACTGAGCAGATCAGCGTGCCCCTTGAATCTCCTGCCCGGCAAGGATGCAGGAAAGATCGAGGTTGTCAACTCGAATCTGTGCGAGGAAGCGGCGCTCGCATTCGAGTATGGCGTGTCAGTCGAGGATCCGTTCACTCTGGCAATCTGGGAAGCCCAGTTCGGTGACTTCTTCAACAACGCGCAAACCCAGATTGACGGGTATGTGACCTCAGGCGAGACCAAGTGGGGCCAGCAGAACGGCCTAGTGGTATTGTTGCCGCATGGCTTCGATGGCGGAGGTCCCGACCACAGTTCCTGCCGGCTCGAGCGCCACCTGTTGTTGTCAAACGACCCTGTTGACGGTAACCCAGGCCAAGCGATGCCTAATGTCTACATCGCATTCCCAACCACGCCTGCCCAAATGTTCCATCTGCTGCGGCGCCAGATGAAGCGCAACTTCCGCAAACCGCTGATCGTTGCCGGGCCAAAGACACTGCTGCGTCTTGCTCAGGCAGTCTCGCCGCTTAGTGACATGGGGACTGGCACCCAGTTCCAGCCCGTGCTGGACGACCCGGTTGTGCAGGACCCGCGGGCAGTCAGGCGTGTGATGCTGGTTTCAGGCAAGCTGTACTACGACTTGGCCAAACTCAGGAGCGAGCATCCGCTAGGTGAGCATGTCGCGATTGTGCGTGTCGAGGAGCTGTCGCCGTTTCCGCGCCAGCAGCTGTACCAGACGATCTCGCAGTACACAAATGCGACAGATTTCGTGTGGGTGCAGGAAGAGCCTCGAAACGCTGGTGCGTATTCGTTTATGGCCCAGCGAGTCACCCAGCTGCTACCGGAATATGCACCACAGCTTCGGTATGTTGGGCGTGACGAACACGCTGCCGTGTGCTCTGGCGTCGATTCCCAGCAGGCTGAGGAGCACGTGCGTCTGACGCGTGAGGCCTTTGAGGGCCTGCGGTCGCTGGTGGTTGACCTGGCTGCCGAGAGCAGCGCGTCTCAGATCCGCCACCGGCAGCTTGAAGACTCAGCACACTCAGCGGTCATGCCCACCATCGCGCATCGGTGGGGAGGGGGTGGCCGTATCCATGCTGCGCAGGGTGTTGCTGACCAGTGAAATGTACTTCAGTTAACGTCACATTTATTTTCAATATACTCTACCAGATATCAAGATAATAAACTACCAAAAGCCTGTCTCACGCCTGGGCATTCGCGTCCTCGCTTGGGTCATTGCCATCGTACAGCTTGAGAACATCATCGTCGTCGCTGTCGGATGCGTCGCTGTTACCCTTCCGCGCGGCCGATTCGTTGGAGGCGACGGGCTTGACAGGGTGCGGGAATCTGCATTTAGACCGGCTGCA